GCCCTCCTAAAATCTAGGGCCACCACCTGACCGCTTGCCTTTGCCACCTTGCGCTGAATGGTGAATTCTAGCAGGCAGTGGTCACTGTCGCCCAGGGGGTCAAGCACCCGCAGCCCCCTCACCAGGTCGTTGCCCGTGGCCAACACCAAGTCCAACAAGGCATCCCCCCTGGTGGGGCTGTGCACCTCCTGGGTTAGATGAAGGTCCTGGACTCTCTCCAAGAACCTGCGTGCGCGCTCGGACCTGGCCGACTGCTCTTCCCAGCGGATGTCTGGGAAATTCAGGTCCCCCATGACTACCACGTCCCTAGCTTTTACTACCTCAGTGAGCTGACCCAAGAATTCCTGGTCAAGCTCCTCTGCTTGGGTAGGAATCTGTTTAAGGGCATTCATTGACTAGTGCCCACAAATAGCACTGGGGGAACAAATGTGTGCAGCAGTAACACATTTGATAATGATCCAGAACGGCAGCATTCCTTCACTCCTTGGTCTTTTCACTCTCCTTATTAACTTCTGTGTTATTAGCAATAATCAATGCTATGCCACGGATAAGCTCTGCCTCTTTAAATTCTTGGGAACCAGACAGTTGTGATGAGCCTGACTAATTCATTTAAGAATGGCATTAATCAGTTAAAAACAGAGACGGGGGTGTTGATGTTGATAGTGTTGCATAGGGTGTACGTTGCTCACAATTTTAGTAGTTCTTGCTTTAATTCAAAGAGTTGTGGAACCAGTTCACTTTAAGGAAAATGTTTCACTTTTAAATTTGCTCCTAGTGCTTTTCCACTAAATACTGATAATGCTGTTCGTAGTCACCTGCCTTGGAAAGCAGCCCTACTGGGCTGTTGAGACTAATCTCCCAGATTAGGACTGTAGACACAGTGGCTGGGTCTTGGTTCTTAGGAGATTCCTAACTGCTGGGTAATGGGAACGTGTGATAGTGCAAAGTGAAGCTTAATTGAAGATCTCCCTCGACCACATAAAGGAAACCTTAATTTTAAAAAAATACATAAATTGATAGCGCAAGTTAATGTTCTTTTACGTGATCAAGGCAAATACCATTGACTTTTCCATTGCTCAGGCTGCTATGAAAGGCTTTCTGGCTTCTGTCAGTACAGCAGTTTTTTGTCAGAGTGCTTTTAGAATCTGTCTATATGTAAAAAACGCTTTTTACTGAAGCTCTGTTGTGTTGCCCTGAAAGCCTTCCAGGATGGCGTTCTGAAATTGGACCAAGGGTTTGCAAGGGCCGATCCCCTCTGACTCCTGGTTCACCCAACTTTAAAACCTGCTGCTAGGGAGGGGCTGCAGCATTTTTGTGCATGCAGTGCTGAGGGAGAGTCACTTGACTTCATTATAATCTGCCTGATCCCTTCTAACCTTTTCATTCTGTGGATGTTAAAGACCCTCTCTCATTTTTAATGGTCTTGATGTTCCACCAATCAGATTATGTGCAATTCTGCTGTCTGTTAGATGCTCCTGGAAATGAAGCTTGTATTTCACAGATTGTTTTTAACTTATTTCAATTAAGTTATATTTATTTTTGCTTCAATCTCAGACTGAATAATGTAGCCTTAGGCCCCTAGCATATTAGTAAAACTTCTGGTTTATTTTTAACTGTAAAAAAAACGTTGTTTTCTATGCTGTGATACACCTTGGTAACTGCACCCCCCCCCCCCCTTTTCAGAATTGTAGATCCACCCGTGGGGACTTCTAGCTTCTCTGCCAAGTAAATCCTGATGTGCACTTATGTGTGCTTTCCCCACAGCTTGGACTTGTGCTCTTTCTTTCAGGTAGCAGCCATGGCTATGCCAACCCAAGCAGCAGAGCATCAAGGCGGGGGGGAAGTAGTCTTGGCTCAGCAGCCAGCAGCAGTTTGCTAGACATAGATCCCCTGATCTTAATCCACTTTTTGGATCTAAAAGACAGGAACGGTATGGAAAATCTGTGGGGGCTACAGCCACGTCCTCCTGCCTCACTTCTGCAGAACAGAGGTAAGTGGTGCATTTTTAAAGCAAGTTTTATGTCATTTTCCTGAGGAAGATGTGCATCAGGTTAGGCATCCATTTGTCTGCCGTGCTCATTTTGAAGTGGGGCCAGTGGAGATGGGTGAGGAAGAACATCACTGAGTTCTTGGGAGCCATTGATATGCAACCTTGGTGGTGCCATGGCATTAGGTGTGCTGTTAGGCTGATAGGTCCTGACCTTAACTTTGTGAAGCAGAAGAAAGATGCCTTGACGTAAATAGAAATCTGTCGCAACAACTATTGTAGAGGGTCAGTTACTCCTCGTGTGCTCTATTAGGGAAGAATTAGTAAATTAACTCCACGCTCTTAAATAGATTCACCGTGGCTGACACTTGTTTGGGGCTACCCAGCCCGCAGCCACCATATCTTATTGCAGATCCCTTTCAAGCCACCATTTGGTGGCTTAATAGGGCAGAAGAGAAATGCTAGTTCATCTGATGCACGGATGTGGCTTTCCTCTTGCCATAGTCATGGCATTTACATTTATTGAATTGAAAGATGAAAAGCAAATAGTTTTGTGCTTTGCAGTTAGTTTGTAGCAAGTACAGCTCCAACAAGAAGCAGTCTGAGGCAGAGTGAGCTGCAGATAATCCCGGGCTGTGAACAGGAGGCAGCTGCTGTCAAGACTGTGCTTTGCGAAAACTAGGAAGAGCAGCTGATGGGACTAAAGAGAGGGGGAAGGCTTGCATTACTAGCAGTGCTGCCCAAAACCAGATTCA